CCCCCCCCCCTCTCTCTCTCTCTCTCTCTCTCTCTCTCTCTCTCAAGTAACGTATATTTTTATAAAAGTCACATTTTAATTGCATTTTTCTCTCGGCATATGAAGTAAAAAATAACAAGTAGATATGAAAAGCATTTTTATTAGTATGAAGTGTATAAACAGATCGCATAACAAAGAAAGTATTTATTGATTGAAACGACAAATTATTATGTGCGCTCTGCGCAAATCAGATTATCGTAAAGATACTCATCTCGATATATTATTAAGATATCATTCAGTCATGTCACGAATTATTTATGAAGTGTGATTATTCATTTTATCTATATAATTTCTCTAATTAATGTTTTTATTGTATATCTTTTATAGATATACATATATAATCATTATCAATACTTGACTTATTGAGTCATTTTTATTAGTGAAAGCCCTTGCCATACACGAACTTCAATGTACGTCTTTTATCAAGAAAGAAGTTTTTAAAATTTCCTATAAATAATGTATATTAATAATACAATAAAACATAATATATGTATAATAGATTTAGATAAAAAAGAAATACATGAGCATGCGCCGAAACTTGTTGTTATTAACAACATTTTTTTTAACATTTTTACAAATTTACAAGAGTGACCAATATAATCTGTCACTGTTTACTTGCCATTTTATAAATATTTTACTCTATTTCTTCGGCCAATATTATTCAATTATTAATAATTCATGAATTCTAACAAGATCTGATTGCACCGCAAGTTCGTGACACTTTTTTCGATAAATATAAAAACTCGACGATTACACACGTTATCATAAATCAATTATTAACGGTAAGATTATATATTATATCATCTTAAGCGGCATGCGTGTTACATTGTCAATATTTATAGTGTTATATCACGATCATCATTCGTCTTCTTAAATTCCTATCTCTTCTAATCTCTGTTAATATAAACATATTCGAAATCACTTCCGTTCATTTTTCATTCTTCAGATAACATTATGTTCTTGATGAATTTTCTATGATATTATTTTATACGATTTTTATAATAAATTCAACGCAATATGTTTACCAAATAAAAATTCGTTGTGAACATATGATACAACGATGCAAAGCTGTTTTATGTATGTATAATCGAGCAAAACATTTTTTGATTGTTACATACTATTTCGATCTCTTATAATATTTCATCACTATCTTTCTCTTCGAAGACACTGATGACATTCTGCAATTAACAGCACTGTATATAAAAAGATGATCATGATGTGTGTGTATATACAATTATACAACTATCTCTGTACTTAGACTTAAATTATAGACCGTAACCGAATTTAGGAAATTCAGCGCAGCGAAAACGGATTTCTTTCGCATCAGGATTTACGATTAATATCGATCATAATCGCGGATCGATCAATCCGAAATTGCCTAACGCCACTTAAAGCATACACGTACGTTCAATTTATTGGGAAACGACGATAACTTTTGCTTAATATCTAGTCATTAGATCGTTAGTTTGACCTGAATTTGTCATCATTAAAATAATGGACCAATATTTAACAATTTTTTTAATTAAAATTATTTATATTATTTATGAGAATTCTCTCTTGAGACTTCGAATTTCATCAGAATACACGTTATATGAATGCGCTATTAGTTTTTGCAGCTTTTTTCTATTGCATAATATTTTAAAGAAGCTATTATTAAATATCTCGGAAAATAAATTTTAACGTTTCATAATTTTATTATATATTTTGTATTTATTATGATATATTTTTTAGCGATACAGATTCGGGTCATTTTACGCCTAAATTAAGCATATTCAAGTTAGATTTAACATTAATTTTTTAATGCTAAGCGTGTGAATTTTTGATCAACATTCCCTTAAGTGATATAAGATCGTAATTGCACTATACAGGTAGGATATCTCTTTTACAGAATTCTGTGAGCAATTTACACTCCTTGTGTGTTATTTTATAGCAAATACAATTGATGTATGTAATATTTTCTAATTATTTTTTTTTTGCATACGTACTGAAAAACATCATGGCAAATTTCAAATGGTAAATCTTATGTATGAGATTGTCATTTAATATCTTATTTTTTTCTAAGAAAAACAATCATCTAGTATAATTTGTAAATTTCTTTTTATTCGGAAACATTTATAAACAAGACAAAATTGATATTATGTATGTTATGATGTAAACACACAAATGTTTACAAATGTGTAACATACGCTAAAATATAAAAATTGGATTCTTAGTTCTACAAAGATTGCACCGAAAATGATGATTATCGTTATTATAAATAACAATAGCAACGAGCATATAAACTGTTTAGTTTGAATTTTATTAACATTATCGTATTGAAGATGGATTTTAAAGCAAAAAGCTGAAACGAACTTTTACTATTCTAAAATATCTTTAACTATAGCTAGAATCTTGGCAAAATATATTGATCTAGAGATTTCACAAAGAAACTAAAGAAATATTCAATATATATCTAAAATTATTCAATGTATATCTTTCCTGCTTGTAATTCCTTAGATTTGCAAATCAGCAATCATCACTTTCGGTGCAATCTTCACGTTAAATATAACAATCTTTTCAAATTTTATATTAAATTGACATTTTGTTTTCTGATATCATATTTTATATAGTGATTATAATGTTCTCAGATTGTTCTTATGTTTATGTGCCTTTTTACAGAAAATGAATGCAAGAAGTATTTAAGCGAATAAGTTATTGTTTGATTAACTATTCTGATGATATCAATAACAACAATGTAATATTATTATATAGTTTACATTGAAATTACTATTTTTTTCATGATCATTTTCATTCAATGTGTATAAATGCCATTTGTTAAATTGTCATTTTGAATTGAATCGGATCAAGTATAATGAGACTATTGTGTGTACGCATGTGCGTGCGTGCGTGTGCGTGTGCGTGTGCGTGCGTGCGTGCGTGCGTGCGCGAGTGAGTGTGTATAAAATAGATTCAATTATATAAAAGCCACAGAAAATCAGCAATTACTGTAGAAATGAAGATGTCTTACAAAATAAACTGCAAATTAACAAAATTACTTTGACTGTTTTATTATTATTATTTCTGTATTTTATGACTGATATTTACGTTTTATTTTGCAAGTATATCAAAGTGCACATAAATACCACGATAAATTAACAAAAGAATGAAAAAAGCCATGTATCATAATATAACAAAATAAGTATCTTATTTACAGATAGACAATTACTTACAAATAGAGCATTATCATTTACAATTATTGTTAATATTAATATGATTCATTTACCAATTTAAAACTAATTTTGAAAAAATTGGCGTTTTGTAATATAATTAGCTTTTTGTAAAAGAAATAATAAGAGGCACAAAAATGTTTACGCGTATGTGATTGCAAATTTTATAATTTCGACATTTTATCTACCTACTAACGATTCCCTAATTTTTTTATCAATCCAGCGACGATAATATGCTACACGAACGTAAACTCCAGGTCTGTTTGCTTTGCCGCAATGCTGGCCCCAACTAGTTATCCCGTACAAATTGAAAGCTCCTATTATAAAAAAAGTATATGAATTTTATTATAATAATACTATTATTGCAAGTACTAATTGAACATAACAAAATACAATATTTTTTATTTTAGGATAGAATTCATAAACTTTAATTCTTGAATAAAAAATAATAAATAATTACTGTTTTTTGGATATAAAAAAAGTTTATATATTAATGTTTTCCGAACTTTATTCTATTACCTGCCCATCTTCTATATTACATAAATTTTCTTTTATAATTTTAATTGCATTTTTTATTATTTTAAAAAATGCTATTATGTGACCCGTTATTATACGATTCTTTTCCTAATTTCAGTCATTATAAATAATTAATAGATTAAATAATAATCTATTAATTATTTCAACATTACCATTGTGATAACATGCTAAAGGACCTCCGGAATCGCCATCGCATGTGTCGATACCTTCATCAAGATATCCAGCACACATCATTCCGTCACTTATTGCACCTTCACCATAAACATAACTGGCTCGGCAAATTGACTGATCCAATAAAGGCACCCAGCCATATCGTAAATCTTTCGATTGCGCTACAAAAGGATACTACATAATATTACAATATTCATTTAAAGTAATACTCTTCAGTATTTAACACCTACTCGTCTTGCCCGTTTCAATACTGCCGAATCCACTGATCGTGCAATTCAATCCAGGCGAATATTCGGCATTCTCAGCCGGCAAGCAAATTGGCATGATATCTTTGCCAAGCGGGATGCCGAGACCTTTAAGTAAAACTAAAGCGATATCATTGTTCATTCTGTGGCCTTTACGAAATTCCTCGTGTACGTAATAATCTTCGATGTTGGCTTCTATTTCCGTTCCTTCGTTTATCTAAAGATATCAAATATGATTTAAAGTGTAAAGTGTCACATATTTAACAAATGTATACAAAATGCCCAGTAAAAAATTTTTTATGCATAATTATATACAAACATACACAAATATTCATAACATGTTCATTCATATCCATAGAGAAAAGTCCTCCCTGTTATGAGATAGGCGCCTAATATGAGATAGGCGTTTCTGCTAGACTAATAGATGCTATTGGTTTTACCATGAATTTATTGCTCTTGGATTAAAAACTATTTAGTAGAAAATTCATTATTAGATCATGCCTCTAATCATTGTAAAAAAAGATTTTAGAATTTGGATGTCTTCAAGTTTCATTGAGATGAGGCTTTAAACATTGTTTATTATTTAATAAATAAATATTTGACAATAAATTCTTCATATATTGTAGTAAGGTCTACCAATAGAAAAATACGGGATATATTGAATTGCTTAATTACTAGAAGTTAGATTTGATGATCGTAAACCGTAAGATGTGGAAATTATAATACGAAATACTCAAGGTATTTCTAATAACTCATGAAATAACCCATGCTCCCATGTCATAATGAAAATCGTTGTTAAAGTATAAATGTAATTGTACAATAATAAAAAGGATTACCGAAATGAACATCGAGTGCCTATTTCTGCAATGCTTAATTTCAACTATCTGAAGACGAGTTCTAGGTATCGCATACTCATTTTTCGCGCATCTTGACTGTGTTTGTTTGTATTAATGTTTAAGAAACATTAAATAAAGTTTTTTAATTACAATATTGATATATTTTTGTTTTACTATTGATTTCTTGGGGCATCTCATATTAAGAGTGCATTTTTTCACTTTTGCGACTTTTTACTTTGCTCACTTTTTACATTTCTTTAATTTTCAAAAAAAAATGAAATTTGAATTAAATTTTAACATTATCTTAAAGCTTATTAAATTTCTTTCAAAATGACCTATTATTTTTTTAAATTCTACCCATAAACTTCTAGTATTTATCCAAAATGAACTCGGTATCTCATAATAGAGGCCTTTCCTTTATACATTCCTCTTTCTTTTGTAAAATTACTTTTTAGTGTAATAGAAATAATAATAGTTTATACATATTTGTACATATTCATGTATGAAAAATTTTTTACCGAGATGTAATAAATGTTCTTGGGGATTCGATGATAATTTCATTAGATAATAATTACGTTCACTTACATCCGTGTTATAATCACCAGCACGAACAAAATATGAGCCTTTGTTATAACCTTCTAGGCAATGTGCTGCTGTTAGCACGTGTAGAGGCGATATAATAACAGCACCGCACCAATGATTTGATCGACTGTGCCCTCGAACTCGAATACTAGCCTAAATATTATTTAACAATCTCTTATATCATCAATCTCGCTGTACATCTGATGCAATATTTATTTTAACATAATGCACATAAAATGATGATAATTCTTCATTAGTTACCGTAAAAAATCCAATAATATTTCTTCTAAAAGTAATTTACCTGCCAAGGATAAGTGCCTTTTGGTGCAATGGAGCCATGTACTACTTTCTGAAATATTAAATCTTCATCGCTATCGAAATCTTTGGCACGTTGGCCACAATTTGATGGAAGTAGTTCATTAATGTTTTGCTCTGAATGTTCTTGACTGTTTATCCAATATGACTGTTTAATAAAAGTAAAATTAAGAAAATAAATAGCAAATCATATTAAAGTTATGAAATTTTGTCTACTTTGAAATTGTTTTAATAAATGCAATCATTACAACTTATGTCAAATATTTATATACTGTGTACATATTTAATATATTGTTATGTTATTATTTTACTATATATTAAATAAATTCAAATATTAATTTAAATACTTAAGCAATTTACATATATTTCTCTGTACAAATATGTTAAATTTTAATATTATTGTCATTATTATTCAATGCGTAACCTAACAGATAAAATAACTTTCAATCTAAAAAAAATATAATAAAATAAATTAAGATATAATAATTATTTGTTTTATTTACTTCGGCATCGTTAACATCTCCAGGTGAACAAATTACACCTGCGTCTTCATTATGATCGCAATTATGTTGACCCCAGTGATTATGCTCACATCGATATAATTGCGATTCGTTTCCATGACAGAAAACCTTTTTTGTATAAATTAAGAATATTGTCTTAAAATATTAATCAAACAAGGCATAGTAGGTAATACTATATATTTTATATTATTATTTATATCAATCATTATCTTCTTCATTAAATTAATTATCATGATATGCTTAAAATATATTGAAAATATGTTAAATATGTATATTTAAGAAAATATAAAATAAAGTAAGATAAACAAAAATTTAAAAATCAATAAATTTCTTTTTGCAAGAAATCAAAATATTTTATGCCACAAATGTAATACCTCATCGAGCCATATTGGTCCTTGGCCAGACCCAAAGAAACCGTTTTTCTTAGCTATAGCGATACCACCGTATCCTAAAGATCTACAAATGACTACTGCCGTAGCATTTGTAAAGTCATCATCGCATACGGTACCCCATACGCCGTGATGACGCACTTCTACTCTTCCTTGCAGAAAATTGCTACCATTCGCCAAGCGCAACTCAAATGGTGCCTAAAAAAGATAATAAAAGATAATAAAAGATATGCAAATCCATTTCTACTTTTCTTCTAACTTTCTTACATCGCAATATTCTGAACTTTCATCGGAGTGATCTGGACAATCGACCACCTCGTCACAAATGAAAGGAGTCGGTATGCAAGTTGGACTATTATCACATTTCCAATAACCTTCCTGACAAGTATTGACTGCGGTCTTACATACGATCCCAACAGCCTCTTCCGGTTGACAATTATGAACTCCCCATCTAGAAACAAAAATATATGTATAAATAATTCAGTTGTATAAATAATTCGTGCCAATTTTAGTTGAATTATTATAATGTACATCCGACGCGACGTAACGATCAATTGTCAATATTACAATAAGTAAAACATAACGTCAATTTTTACCCGTTAAAATCGCATTCACGTAATGTAGTTTCGTTTCCACGACATTTCAATTGATCTACCATAAATTTCGTAGGTGGATCGAGATTTCCGTAAAATCCACCCGGTCTAACTTCCAAAGCTCCAAGATCGAAACCAAGCTCTTTGCAAATAACATCAGCATTGATCATACCAAAGCCGTCATCACATACCTGGCCCCAATGTCCTAGAACTAATCCAACAGTAAAATTATAAAATAAAAGAAAAGAATGTAAGAGAGAGAGAGAGAGAGAGAGAGAGAGAGAGACCACTTTGCTTTTAAAATACTTAGTAAATTTTCGGCCCGAAATAGAAGAAACTTTAGAAGAAAAAAAACAGTGATTATTGTTTTTCAATATCATCTCTCTTAAGTTTAATATACTTGGTATATCTCCATGTTTAAAAAAAAAACTGTTATCCTTAGTCTCAAAATGTCTCGACGCTATTTAAAGTTCTTCATCGGTGTGAAATCTCCTCCCTCGTAAGTCTGACTTCAATTTAGTGAGCAAATATAGTAATCGCTCGAACTATAGATCTTACAATCCAGATTTGGCTCCGAGTCGGAATAAATTTTTTATATATAAATATAAATAGTTGTATAATTA